GTACCTGTCCACTTGCCACACAAGGGCTATTTGCCTGTGTACCTGCCATAAAGCTTTGAAACAAAGGGCTTTCCGGATCACAAAACTTACTTTGCCTAGCAACCATGACCTCATTAACTAGCCAACTGGGTTAGACTGTAAGGCCTCGCTCCCACCAATAGAGCAGGGCACAGCACCTATAGAACATGGGCTCAGTGTACCTGCCCTTTGCCAACCTTTGTCTGGCAGCATACCCTTCTGCAGAAGTAAAGTGTGCTCTGCCAAAAAACTTTTCAAAAGTCTTGGTTTCTTTCGTCCTGTTTGTGACACCAGAAAATTCATCTCCAATAGCTATATTCCCAACTCTTTTGTTATTTTTTGAGACTAGGTCGCCATAAGTCACTAAGTTGCCCAGGCTGGGATCCTCCTGCTTCAGCCTCTCAAAGTGTGGGATTATAGGAATGTGCCACCATGCCCTGGGCCCTTTTAAACTTTGAGACAAGGTCTCATTAAATCACCAAAGGAGGACTCAAACTTAAAATTCTCCTGCCTCAGCCTCCCAAAGGGATGGGATTATTAGCTCCAGCTCCCTTCCTGCTTTCTCCCTTGGACCAGTCATAATTCCTGATAAACTGTGAGCCCAAAACAGAGGCCAACCATTCCTATTTCTGTGCTCCAAACAACACACAGCACAGCACCCTGTATTACAACGTGTTTGAGTAACACATCAAAAGACCAAGAGAAAACTTCTGAGATTCTTTAAGGGTCTGGAGTAAACAAACTGCTCCTTTCTCAAGTTCTCAGCTGTGATAAAAATCATCAAGATTGCCAGGGAGCTGGAAATGTTCTATGAGTTGGTTAGGTAGTAGTTAGACAAGTGTATACATTTATAAAAATCTTATCTACTATCCAGGAGTAGTCGATCTTTCAGTATGGGCACATATTCTCAGTGCTCTGGGAAGCTGAGGTAGAAGGATCCCAACTTCAAGCCCTTCAAGCAATTTAGTGAGACCCTGTCTCAAAATAAAAAACAGGAAAAGATTTGGGATGCAGCTCAGTGTGAATGTCCTGGGTTCAATCCCTGTACCACAAAAGAAAAACGGGGGAAAAAGACTCAACTGCTCTACAGGAAATATTACACCTCAAAAAAATCGCTATCTATAAACCAACTTTTTCTTAGGCCCCTTTACAGACTTCCTAATCCTCCTGAATGTCCTATAAAATGGTCTAGTAGGAGGAATGATCCACATTTGTTGCATGGGAGGAAGCTGTGACACAGCTCAGTAACACAGAGTCACAAACATAGCAGCAACAAGGTTTGTGATCCTCCACCCAGGCTATGCTATCCCGCCAAACCACTGGCAGCCACTTATAACTCCCAAGGAAACAATCTCCTGAAATAGCAACTGCTTGTTCCACCTCTCCTGACAGCTGGCTTTCTCTAAGCAACTTTCTTTTTTTTTTTTTGATACCAGGGATCAAACTCAGGACCTTGTGCTTGTGAGGCATGCACGCCGCCACTGAGCCAAATCTCTGGCCCAAGTGACTTTCTCTTAAAAGGTATAATGGCAGGGCTGGGAACCTACCACCAGAGTGTCTGTGGAGAAGTGGTGAGGCAGCAGAACCCAATGGAGTGAGGAGACAGGAGTCATGGGTTCCAGTCCCAGCTTTGTCCTCAATGAGCTGTGTCACTTTTCACAGGCCACCTAACCTCTCTGGGCCTGGGATTTCTCTCAATATGGGCACTCTGAAGAGCAATTTCCTAAAGCTGCTTTGGCCACAAGCAGGTACTGCACAAGTTAATAAAAGGAAGAGAGCTGCTTTAATGTGCACTTGTAGGAACCTGAGGTTTTAAAGGTCCTGATATAGAAGCAGGTGGGTAAATGTTTTCCATATTCCTAAGAGGCTTAGCTACTCACAGTGAGGCCAGGACTTACACTAAGCACACAAGCCTTTGCAACCAGAGCCTGCCGCTCTTCCCCCCACTCCCAGCATCACCGTCCTACACCACTCGAGGCAGGCCAGACTCTGGCAGCTGGTTCTTTCTCCACTACCCAAACACAGGAGACAGATCCATCCCGGCCACCACAGGCAGGTCAGTGAGGCAGAGAAGTCCTGTCAGAAGAACGCACCCCCACTGTGCTCCCCAGTCACTGCTGCATTTCTGGCCCACAGGGCTGAGGCTGCTCAGCCCCATCAGAAATCTGTGCCTGGTTCACCAAAAGGCTGACACTAAAATCAGAGGACGGCTACTGATCCAAACAAGGCTCGAGTGCCAGGAGAGATGCCCTCCAGCATCTATGCTGCTCGCCTGGTCTGCAGCTCAAGGGAGCAGCTGAAAGCCATTATTCAGCTCTGGCCTCTGAATCAGGGAATCAAAATCGAAAAATGTCTAGCACTTTCTACAAAAGAGCCTGTGGCTGCCCTCAACTTTTACAATGAGCAGGGATGTACTCGAGCTGTTAACAGACAATGAATGCTAAGCTACTCCATCTTTTATCCAGCAAAGCGGCTTGGAGCATACCTGGCTCTCTGGAGAGTTACTGTAATATGGCACTTGTTGACTCAGAACAGGAGAGCAGGAATCTCTGCATCCTTATAATGTTGTTATTGAGAAAACAAAGTCCCCGCGGTTGGAAGGCACTTGCCCAAACATACCAGTGACAGCCAGAACTAGAACCTGCTGCACAGTGTCTTGAAGCCCCAGGATCTGCTGGACTATCCTGGGTGACAGAGGGTACATTCAGGAGCAGGAACCTTAACAGAAAGCTGAGAACTCAAGAAAAGGAATGAGAAGGAGTAAGTTCTCAAATTTTTGTGAATGGGATAGCAGAGTCTGGGCCGAACTTGAAATGTATGGCCTTAGCAGCCAAGCCTGCGTAATCCCAGCACTCAGGAAGCTGAGCCAGGAGGGTCACCATAGGTTCAAGGCCAGCCTGGGCTACACAGTGAGTTGAGACCAGCCTGAACTACATAGTGAGACTCCGTCTCAAAAAGCAAAACAAACAAAAGAAATAGAGGTCAAGCTGGTGTGATGGCACACATCTACAATCCTAGCACTCCGGAGGCTGATGAAGCAAGACTGAGAATTTGAGGCAAGCTTGGACTACAAAGTGAGCCCCTGCCTCAAAAAAGCAAAATGAAAAAGAAACAGAGGTCACTGTCACCCAAGAGAAATAACTATCTCTTTTTTTGAATCAAAGATATACATGAAGAGATTAAATACTATAATCCTGAAGATCACAGCTACTTGCGTGAATCAGTCAGCTGGGAGAGAAGCACAATACAAGGCAGTCAAGGGCCTGCCTATGAACAGAGGCCTGGTGGGACTAGTTTCAGCAGGGAGGACCTGCCCTTACCTCCGTAACCCGAGACAGCCTTGGCACGGAGAAAAGCTGCTGTTCTGTCTCTTCCCAGCTGCCCAGGATGTATTGAGCAGAAGGGGAACCCAGGAGAAGTAACAAGAGAAAAGGCAGTGACCCACAGGACTTCCCTTATAAGGCAGCCTCCAGCAGCCTCATTCCCTCAAGCAGTGATGGGCAGAAAACGAACCAAGGGGGAAGTTCACCAAGGCAATGCAGGGCAGGGACTGCTGCGCTGCCTTCCAAGCACACACACACTGCTCTCAAGATACAGAAAGTATCCCTACTGCATGTGCCTCACAAATTCAACCTAACACAACCTAGCACCCAGAGCCTCCGCTGGTAGGCTGCACCCCACCCTTCCAGGTCCTCTCCACCTGGGCACCACCCCTGACCCCTCAAGCCCTTCCCTCCCCTCAGCACACACAGCACAAGCTAATCTCTGCCTGCTCCCCCCTCCAAGCAATTCCTTCTGCCTGGAATGGTCCTACCCCCTTCTGACCCAGATCTCATTCATCTGTCAATTCCCAGCTCAGAACCCTCCCCTCCCTGGCAGTGTCATCAGTTTCCCAGTTGAACTCATTTCTCCCTCCTTCCTTCTCTTACCATACTTGTGAATACCAACAACAGTGAGCCTTATTGGGCCTTATTTTAGAGATAGCTGTGCACTGTCTGACCTTTTCCCCAGCACCCATGAGACTAGGAGCTCCTGGAGAGTAAGAATAAGAACTCCATGTCCCACACAGTCCCACATGTGCAGTTTCACAGTGAATGCACAAGATGTTTGTCTAACTGGGTGAAACTTAAACAACCTTTCTCCTTTTACCACCTTCATCTGACAAAAACAGCCTCATCCTGGGATGCCAAGCAGGACTCTCAGCTTCTAAATCTGAGAGTGGCTAGCTTTTTTAAGGGGCCCTTTGTGTGGCCTGGATTCTCTGGCTCTTACCTCTCAAATAAGAATAATGGATTTGTCAGAGAAGCTGAGTGCTTCAAGATGAGAGGCTCTGGAAACACAGATTGTCAAGTTCAAGGCCATTATTTTAAACTCCCCTTAGACCTAAGCACCATTTACCAACTAATGCTAGGAACTTAAAGCTTGTTTCTAGCCAAATGCCTCTTCTTTGATCACAAATGCCCTTGTGTATTGCTGTTGAGAGAGCTGCACTGAGAACTCTGGGTAGCTTATTGGCTTTTTACTTCCAGACTGGAGAGATTTCTATCTCCAGTGTGGAGACAGATAGTTCATGGTTTCAGGAAAAGCCCAGAATTCAGGCCTGTTGCTCTCTCAAATCTCCTGGTATAGCAGTCAGTTCTCAACCTGTAGGTTGTGAGCCCATGGGGTTCAGATACCACTCGGGGGCTCTGTGAATGTGCCTAAGCACTGGCTGCACAGTAAATGAGGAATATATCACACGATAATACAAGCAGAAGCATCTACCACTGGACCATCTCCTACCACTTGTATCAGACACAGTCCTAAAATTGAGACATAGGCTGGGTGCGGTGGCACATGCTTATAATCCCAGCACTTGGGAGACTGAAGCAGGAAGACCACAAGTTTGAGCCCAATAGGGGCAACTTAGCAAGACTCTATCTCAAAATACAAAATGGGCTGGAGACATAGCTCAGTGCAAAGGTTCTGGATTCAATCCCTTGTCCTGCCAAAAAGAAAAAGAGGTACTCTAAGAGGTGTCCCCAGCCCTTTATGACTCGCTTTTCCTTAGACCAGCCTCTGAAGTTCTACAGTAGTATCTGCCACATCTTACAAACCCTAGAGCAGTGATGGTGAACATTTTAGAGCTTTCAATGATATAAACAGCCCGCTGCAGCACATGCATAGGTTTGCCACCACTGCCCTAGAGCAATGGTGCTCAACTAAGGAGGTTTTGCCCTCCTAGAAGAAAGTCAGCAATATCTGGAGTCATTTTAGTTTTCTTAACTGCAGGAGGAGATAACCTAGACATCTACTGGATAGAAGCCAAAGATGCTGTAAACATCCTGCAATGTACAGAACAAGTCTTCTACAACAGAGAATTATCCACTCCAAAATGCCATCGTGCCAAGGCTAAGAAATAGTGCTCTAGAGGGCAGAAAAAATAAGCTTAGCATGAGGAAAGACAGAAATGAAGCAGGGAAATGCACAACGCTGCTGTCATTGCAGACTGTAAATGAGCACAAATGACCAAAGGTTCTTTTTTTTTTTTTTTTTGGTATCAGGGATCGAACTCAGGTCTTTCCGGTTGTGAAGCAGGCAGTGGAACCACTGAGCTAAATCCCCAGCCGACCAAAGGTTTTTAAACCATTCCAAACCCTGTAAACAGTCTAGTCTTCTCTTTGGCCCTGATCCCATGGTGTAGCTCATGATCTGGGTACTCCTAAGACCCCCCACCCAAACCTATCCTCCTCAACATGGCCCATGCCCACTACTCACAAACAGCCTTGCCTTAGCTGGCAGGGGACTCTGAGCTTCAGCATCAACAGGAAGAACCCAGGATGGCAGCATGGCCCACCAGGAAAACACTGAAGAGGGTTCTAGCTTTGACTCTGCCTTTAGGAAAACCACTCAACCACTCTGAGGCTAGTTTCCTCTTCTGCAAAATGGAGCTAAAAATCACAGGCTTCCCTACTTAACTTACAGACTTCTCTGAGTTTCAAAACCAGATTATGTATGTGAAAGTGCTTTGGATGCCATAAAATCCTGTTCAAATGTGAAGCACTCCCCTATAGATGCTCACACTGTGGAGAGGATATTATAAAAATTATTCCCAATGATAGGATTCTATCCAGTGGTATCTATGTGCACTCTGGAATATGGAGTTCTGGCCTCCTAGGAACATGAAGGACACCAGAACCCACTGTGATGCAGTCCACTCCAGGATCCCCAAGGCACAAAGCTGAGTCTGCCCGGTGAGTCATACAATCAGAACCTCGCCTTTCTCATCTCTAAAATGGGATAACACCACTTAATGCAGAGGTTGTTGAAAAGATCAATATAATCAAGTTTGGCATTTCCCAGAGAAAGAGGATGATAATTTCTGATGATTTTTTTCTTCAGACAAGAATTTTTAAAATATGAAATGCAGTGATTTTAGAATGATGAAAATCACTTTTGTTGCTATACCGTTCTGTCCTAAAGCCTCTAAAGCCTAAGCAGCACTAGAGGCCTGTGCAGCTGTGACCCTGGTGCCCTGTCTAGAACCAACAAGCTGAGTGGCAGGCAGGCTGATTCCAGCTCCCTTATCAGCATCGTCACAGAAGGCAATCAGCACTGTTACGGTCTGACACTCAAATCTCCTAACTCCACACTTGCCAAGCAATCAGTGACAACTTGCTGCCTGTGTGCAGGAGTCAAATGGGAAAAAATGCTCTGGAGAGGTGAGAGCAACTAATCCACTAAAGGAAGAATTAAGAAACTAGCAATTATTCAGGATTTAACATGCTCCCGCCAGCTTGAACCACTGGTGGTACGTGTATGACTGTCCCATTAGGCAGCTTGTACCACTGGTGATACAAATGGATCTAATCATTTTTATCAGTCTTTGTACTAATAAAATTAATAAGAAGTCTACTAAATAAATAAATAAATAGGAAGTCTACAAATGGACTAAATCTAATTAGTTGCTTGAATTTCAATAATTACTGCCCAAATATAAATATTAATACTATTCATACCAATTTTAAAATTATTACAATTAGCAATAATTTTATTTCATTAAATTAAAATAAATTTATTTATATTCATGAACAGTATCAACAATTCTCTAAATTTTAACACAGAAATCTTATAAGTACTCCACATTGCAGATGTATATAATATGCATATACAACTGCTATACCACAGATTAGCTGTATTATAATTTTTTATACCATTTTAGTGTTTTCCTTAAGGAACTGTAATATGATGACATCTGGTCTGCTAAATCAACACCTTTGCATTACTGTAACCAGAGACCCACCTGAGAAGCAGTACAGGCCATCCAATGGGACAATCATGCATATACTACCAGTGGTTCAAGTTTGTGGGAACAATCGAATTCAAATCAGAGCTGTTCAGCAGTGAGAAATACGAATTATACAGCCCTGTCATGAACGTGTTAAGGGTTAGCATTTTCAGTCACTGTCCTATAAACTGCAGGACACCAACATAATCACATTCCTCATTTTAATGGGAAGTCACTAAGTAAACATTCTTTCAGGTCACCTAGCATGGGTAGCAACTCCTCTCCAAACCTCTCCAGAGAATAGTAGCCAGGGTATACACATGGACAAGTCTTGTTTCTGCTTTTACAATTATCAGATTTTATAAAGATCACAAACAAGGAATTTAGAGTTCCTGCTTATGTGGACAGTAAAGAATCCATTCCTCAGGTTTCTTAGTTCCTACTTCCTTTTGTAGGAAGTAAGACAATGATAATCAATTGATCTAACTAAATTAATTAAGCAAATTATCAGAATAAAATATGCCTTAAATTTAGTTTCAAAGCTAATTATTATTATCATTTTTTTTTTTGGTACCGGGGATTGAACTCTGGTCCTTGCGCTTGTGAAGCAGGCAGCAGAACCACTGAGCTAAATCCCCGGCCCAAAGCTAATTATTTTATGACAAAACTAAGTTAAACATTGATCCATTCTTATCTCCTCTCTTCCCCTATTCATATAAAGCACAAATTTATGTATTCATTCATTCATTCGTTCAAGACAGGGTCTCACTATGTAGTTCAAACTGGCCCTGAACTCACTCTGCAGCCCAGGCTGGCCTCAATCTACCTTCAAACCTCCTGCCTCAGCCTCCCCACTACTGGAATTACAGGCATGCGCCACCATGCCCGGTAGACAAAGTGCTTTTAATAAGCACTGTATATTATTTCCACATTACTGATTTTTCTTTCTCAGAAAACTTTTCCTATTAATTCATAGTTACGAGCACTTGTATATTCTTTTACTTCCTTTCTGCCTTAACATTCCAGTTCTCTTTCAAAATAATAATTCAATAAAACACAGACTAAAAGTTCTGTGTCGTGAGATTGTTCCAGCTCCCTCCACTGTATATCAAGTACTCTGAATTATGAGTACGCTTTAGGACAGATCACCCTGTATTTTGACTTTCTGTTTACCTGCCCAGCACTCTAACTAGACTGCAAGCACCTCAGAGTCAATGAATTGACTTCCTCTGTACTTACCTAACAACTAGGACAGAGTCTGGCACATAGCTCCAGTTAAAACATGCTTATTTTATCAAATGGATTCATGAACCAAGCGAAAGTTTCCAGCTACCTTCTTTTAAGATGGATCACCTGAAATTAAATGTAAATGTCTACCTGTACAGCATTAAGACCAAAATATCTAGAACAATAAGACCAAAATATCTGGAACAATAAGACCAAAATATCTAGAATATCTCAACAATGGATTCTCCAAGTACTGCATGATGTCTAAATTTGTTTCAAAATCCCTCTAAGCTTTAGTGAGCACACAAACCACCCAGGGATCTCATAAAAATGCTGATTCTTCTGTAAGTCAGGATACAGCCTTGAAGTCTGCATTTTAGCAATTTCCCATAGTTCTCATAGGCCACACTGAGTACCAAGGTTGTATAATAAATACTGTATTCTGTTTTTTGCAGCTGAAGAAGCTGATGCTCAGAAATATGAGGAAACTTGCCCAGGATCCCAAAACTACGGAGTAGAATGTGAACTCAGGTCTCTTGGCCCCAAAGCCAGCACCACTGCACTAACCCTTTAAGCTAGATAGCCACAACCAGAGATGCACAATTTTCCATCATCCCTCAAACAGCCAGCTTTGCCCTTTAAGGAAGGAGGAGGTAAAGCTACAAACACCAGCTATGAAAGAATCAAGCTAATCAGCTGCTCACGTTAACTTCATCCACTCAGTCCTTCAGCTAAGACTTCTTACAAATTGAACAAGCAAGAAGTTAGGGGTGTAGCTCAGTGGTAGAGCACATGCTTAGCATTTGAGGCCCTAGATTCAATCCCCAGTGCCAAAAGAAAACACAGGGGCAGCTAATGTTATGAGTTCCTTTACTAAAAGTCGCAGGAAGTAGGACTGCTTGGGGGGCAGGGGGGGCGGGGGGGGGGCTCTGTCTCAGGGAAATAGGAATTAGCAGAGCCAAAAGCACACAGAACCAAATTAATTCCTAAACAAATACCTTGGCCTTCATGTTCTGTGTGTGATGTGCTGCTCAGACCTTGGCTGGAACATTCTGAGTACTCAGCTCGGCCCACTGCACACTTTGAGAGCAACACTGATGGACAGAACATTCAGAGGACAGTAACAAGGAGGGAACACAAACACCAGCCAAAGGACAGTCAGTGCAACAGAAGTGTGCAGGCCTGAGATGTAAGCACCATCTTTCTATAGCCCTCATGCAGGAGGAGGATCAGGCCTGTTCTTTGTGGCCCCAGGACACAGAATTAGCAACCTGTTTTCTAGTTCACAGCTGCCTAGTGTCAAAGCTGAGGTTTGCCCCCAAGCATTCTGCCTCCAAGAAGACTCTACATTTTTTTCAGCCACCCAGGCTGCTTCCCTATGGAGCTACTACCCCAACCTGCATCTGAGGTAGGTACTACAAGAAGATAGATCTTGGTTCCAAATAAGACAGGTGACTGTACAGAGCTATCCAAAGACAGAGTTAGGCTGTGGTGTGGGACAAAAGAGTACCTAATACAGCCTGTCAACAGAGGGGTTCAACTGGAGGAAAATGGCTTGAGAGGAATACTGGGCATTAGCTGGCTGGCTAGGTGATAACCAGCATCCCCAAAGAAAAATTAATTTTTTTTTTTTTTTTTTGGTACCAGGGATTGAACTCGGGTCCTTGTGCTTGCGCAGCAGGTGGCGAAACCACTGAGCTAATCCCCGGCCCAAAAATTAATCTTTTACTGTTGTGTTTTCCTCTAATACTCATTTGTATACTCAAGTTTACCTTTCATCAGTTATTTGACTTGTGTCTTCCATGCTGAACTGAGTCACTGTGGAGAGAAAGCAGTGTCATATCCAGCATCATATCTTCATTGGGCCTAAGATCAAATGTGGGAAACCAAGGAGCATATCTCTCTATGTGCCACGAATTTTGCTTGGCACTTCACAAACAACTCATTCCATACCCTCACAAGAGCCCTACAGAGGGACAGTGGTAGTCCCTTTTTACAGATGGGCAGATGAGACTCAGAAGAGGATAGGTAACTGCCAAGGTTCTGCTGGTGAGTGGTAAAGCTGCACGCAAACCATGAATCTTTTGTCTATACCACCACACTGCCTTCCACCTAGAAGAAGCACAATATATGTCTGCTGACTGGAGCCCAATACCTCAAAAGCCTGCCAGTGCTATACCAGCCAGGTCTGTGGTTTCTTGTTGCTCTACTCAAGTTTTCCTTCCCAATCTAGTCATCCATCCTAAAAATGACCAATCTAAAATTGTTGCTTTTCACTATCTTCTCTCTCACTCACTCTATTTTAAAGACAGTGGCACAGCACAAAACAATTCTGGGCAAGAGGACCAAGTTTTCATTGACCTTTTCTCTTCCCAACAGGCCCTGGCTCTGTGTATGAGCCCTGAAACACTGGAAACAAGTTAGATGCTAGCTCCTGCCTCAGAGACTGGTGGCCTGCACACATCTTCACAGGCTGTTCTCCAGTATCTCACTCTTCACAACTCAACCCAGCTCTGGACAACTCAAGATTTCCCCAGCACTCCAGGCTGGCTCAAATGTCCTCCTGTTTAGTTAAAATTCCAAATAAAATCTATCTTTAATTTCAAATCATATTATAAACCTACTCTGCAGGCATTCAAAAAAAAAGTAATCTCCCTGCCAAAGGGGGCAAAAAAGAATTCTGTCATTTGCATCAAAGATGCCAGCATGTTTGGAGAGTCAACACACAGGACCTCTCTGACAAGCCACCTGTCTTTTTCTTTTTCTTGGTACCAGGGATCGAACTCAGGACCTTGTGCTTGCCAGGCAGACACAGCACCACTGAGCTACATCCCTGGCCCCACCTGTCTTAAAAAGTAAACCAAACCCAGTTTGGGCAATCATTTCTTCAAACAAGAAACGTAAGAATTGGGCTGGGAATTTAGCTCAGTGGTGCCACCCCTGCCTCATAAGCTCAAGGTCCCGAGTTCGATCCCCGATACCAAAACAAAACAAAACAAAAAGAAATATAAGTATCACCAAGGGAAATTCCCAGTCCTCAGTTCCCTGGGTAGGTTTCAGGTTCTCCATCCCTGGGATGTTGGGATAGGAGATCCTGCTTGCACATGCACCATTAAGATACTACGGCTTGGGGCTAGGGATTTAGCTCAGTGGTTCTGCCGCCTGCCTCGAAAGCGCAAGGTCTGGAGTTCGATCCCCAGTACCAAAAAAAAAAAAGATATTATGGCTTTCAACCTGATGCCTTGATATTCCAGAGAACCAAATGGTCACCTTCACTATAAATTTAACTTATTAAGATGTCTTCCCATATGCTGATGTTTTAGAGCAATTTTATTAAACATGAGAATGCCATCCTTGTTCCAGCAATGAGCAGAACTAAATGAAGATATATTTCCCATGAGCTCCTGGCCTCTCTGCATCAAATATTCTCAGCTGAACCTAAATTAACCTGTAAACGAACTAATTTGCATCCATAAATCCACAGAAATGTACCAATGTATAGAGTTTAAGATACTCAGTCTCCACTTCCCAATCTCATACAATTCTCTTATTAAACTACAATATGATCCTTTCTACAAACCATTTTCCTCTTTATAAAAATAGGAAAAAAGGGAGACCTAAACCACCTACGGTAGATATTTCCTTAGCTAGTTACCATGCCATAAAAAGAAAAAAATCTTTGATACATTTATTTTTCTTAGGGAGAAAACCCACAGAGCAGTTTACAAAGGTACCATAAAACACGTAAATTTGAAGCCAGGCATGGTGGTGCACACCTGTAATCCCAACACTGGTCAGTCTGAGTCTACCTGAGGAACTTGAGGATCACCTCAAGTTCAAGGCCAGCCTGGGCTACATGGTGAGTTCAAGGACAGCCTGAACTATATGGCAAGACCTGTCTCAAAAAACCAAAACCAAAAAGTCTTAATATTTGTCAGCTCACCTAGACCACAATTCCAGTTTCCATCCAGCTCTCAGTGAGAGAACTTTTCCGTTCTGACAATTAAACCCCAGAAATCTGATCACTGATAACTTTATCAAAAAGAAAATACTTAATCAACAGCCACAAAGTGGCATACTCTTTCCCTACTTATACCTAATCTTCACTGCCATTATGTGAGAATAATACTTCGTAAGTGATGATATCTAAGTTTTTAGATAGCAGGGACAGTGTCCAGTTAACCTCCATATTCTCAGCACTGATCATGAGGCCTAGGACACAGAGCCTGCTATATGACTGAGAATGAATATATGACTAAAGGAAAAGAAAAGAAATCTGGAAAAAAAAATACAGCCAAGTATGGTGGGGCATGCCTGTAATCCTAGCAACTTGGGAGTCTGAGGCAGGAAGATCACTGCAAGTTCCAGGCCAGCCTGAGCTACACAGTGAGTTCAAGGCCAGCCTGAACTACATAGTGAGACCCTGCATGCAACCCCAATTTTTCTCTGCCTAGAACACCCTGGAAATAATCCAGTTGAACTTCTGAATTTTGTCTGTCTGTTTATCTGTTTGTTTTACCACCACACCCAGCTTCTAAGGTTTGTTTAAAGGACAGTTTAGTATCCTTTCAAAGTGTACGTCACCACTGCAGATTCAGCCCAGTGGTTCCGGCACCTGCCTCATAAGTGCAAAGTCCTGAGTTCGATCCCCAGTGCCAAAGGGGGGGGTGGTGTACATCACCAAGGCAATATCCACATTGGCTACATGTGCCACAGGACAAGGGTTGGTCCTGTCTCATTTCTTTTTCCTCCACTCAGCACTGTATCTTGTATAGGTGGGGCATTTAATAAGCTGAGCAGTGACAAAGGCCATAACAACACACCTCTGGAAAACATGGAATAAACAGAACACATAAACTGGGCATGGCGGTGCATGCCTGTAATCCCAGCACCTGGAAGGCTACGCCAGGAGGACTGTCACAAGTTCAAGGCCAGCCTGGGCTACATTTCGAGACCCTGTTTCAATCCCCTCCCCTCAAAAAACCAGATCACATAATGCCCACAGCCACCAGATTAACTGGTCTGAACTGAATTACAACCCTCTTAAGACTCATTTTCCTCTCTGTACAATGGAAATAATAGAATACATTCACAAGATTGTTTTTATTTAATAAATACCTATTCATAAATAAATAGTTACTGAGCATTAATCACGTGCCAGGCACTGTGCTGGGGTCGTAACAATGAACAAGACCATAACACCCTGCCTCGTGGAGTCAGTCTCAGTGGATACTGTGAGACTCACAGGAAATGGGATTTTACAAACTTCAAAAACTACACTATAACGAGGTATCACTCTCTTCTGTTTCTCAACTCAGGTTATTGGATCATACTCTTCCTCCTCCTCTCTTTCATCCTGCCCACTTCCACAATTCCAATAAACCACCAAGTCCCTGGTTCTCCTTTAGAAGTCTCTGACATGTATTAATTTCTTTTCTAGCCTTCTACGCTTCTGTTCTAGACCCTTTGTTTCCACCTGAATAACTTCAAGTCTCCCTATAATGATGATTCTGGCAAACATTTATTGATTTCTTACCATATGGCAGGCACTCTGCTAGGAGCTTTGCATGCATAACATTTTTAATCCTGTAAGACAGATACTATGACCCTGACCAACAAAAGAGGAATTAGGGTAGAGAAACCTGCCCCAGGCACATAACTGGTAAGTAGAGAAATAACAGCTCTAGTCCAGGCCTGTGAGATTCGATCCTTATCCCTTAGTGGACTCTTGCCTCAGTCCCTTTCTGGTCAGTGTACACACCATTGTTTACGCTGCTGATGGAATGTGGTTTCAAAAATCCAAGGGGGGGCCGGGGATTTAGCTCAGTGGTTCCACCACCTGCCTCAAAAGTGAAAGGTCCTGAGTTCGATCTCCGGTATCAAAAAAAAAAAAAAATCCAAGGGGATGGACTAGTTGAGCATGGTGGTTCACCCCTGTAATCCTAGCAGTTGGAAGGCTGAGGCTGCCGAGGGTTCAAGACCAGCCCAGGGTATATATTGAGTTCAACATCAGAACTAAAACTGAACTAAAGAGCAAGACTCTATCTCCAAACCAAACAAACAAAAAATCCAAGTGGATATTTCTCTCTGCTTTCAAAGACAACCCTTTTCTCACCATCTCCAGGGCAGCAAGGTCCAAAGATTATGGGCCACTCTTCAGTGTTACTTATCTCCTGCCCTGCATCACACTCCAGCAAGAAGACAGTCTCACTGCTCCCCTAACACACCAAACTTCTGGCTGGCCCACACTGTTCTCCTCCCTCTGCAAAGCCCCCAGTCCTCCTCACCCTCTAGATAGGAACCTCCTCTTTGGGCCTCAGACATGCACACACTCATGCTTCAGCACTGACAGTAATAATTATTCCCCACCTACCCCTTCCCTCGTATTTTCAATCCCGATTTCCTAGAAGCCAGACATGATGTCTTATCTCTGATGTCAAAGGTCCCAGCAGAGTAGTGAGTCAATAAATAGACCAAATAAATGTTAAGGTCAAGGTGGTGCTAATACCTTCCAGCACCATCCCAAAAAAGCAAGACATTCTCCCAGAGGATGATAGTAAGGTCAGCTTATAGCAGCTCCCATCATCACTGGCAAACTCAAGTAGACAGACTACTTTAAGCAAAGTTATTACAACTAAGATTGGTACTCCAGTCTGCTGCAGTCTCTTGCCAAGCCTCTTGAAAGCCAGTTCAATCACCTGTACAACCTGCAGAAACTACAGGACTACTGCCCTCTGGGATGGGAGGAGGGATGTTGACACCCTCCTCCACCACCCTGCAATGGGGCAAGTTTTTCAAAATGCATACTGGTAAAAACCCTGACTCTAATTACCAGTGAATAATAGAGGATCCCGACTGAGAGTCATCAGAAAAAACTACAGACAGCAAAATACAGCCCTGCTTTCCACCTCCACAGGAACAACTAGAGTCCAGGCCTACACGGATGGATGCCTGCAACTGCCTGCTCATTCACTGGTCTCCCAGTTCCCACCACCTCTCCACAGAGCAGCCAGATGATGTTTGGAAACTTATCAATGATTACAACATGTTCCCGTATAATACCCTCCAGAAGCTTTCCATCCATTTAGAATCCAAAACTTTTTATCAAGAAGTTCAAGGTCCAACCCATTCCCCCATTTCACCTACTCTCCCTTGAATCACTCACTACATTCCAGAAACGAAACTCTCAGTTTTTCAGATCAGGCCAACTCCAGGCCTTTTCCTTTGCAATTCGCCTTGCCTGAAAGGCTCCTCCCCCATGTTTTTAAAGACTTAGTTCCTTCTCCACGCTCAGTTAAAACGTCACCTTTCCAAAGAGGCCTTTTCTGACAATTCTATGGAAAGTGGCATCCCTTATACCCCTCAATCCTTGTCAGATCATCTTTTTGTTTAATACTTATTACCAGCATCTCCAAAATTAATATTTTCTTCATTTATTGTCCTGTTTCTGTCTCTCTCCTATTAGGATACAGGCTGTGTTTTTTTTCACCTCTATGCATATAGTTGGATGCATTAGGCACTCAGAAAGAATTTCCAGGATATCTATTTTGACTATTAGCAGAAAAGCATCTTGGGTCAGGTTATTTTTGGACCAAAGAAAACATCTATTTAGTCCCTGCTATGTGCTTGGCACTATAAATCCATAATCTTCCCTTTAGAAGGAAAATTAACTAGCTCAAGGTTACAGCGCAGACTTCACTAGGAGACTTCTAAGTCAAATACTTGTTTGACTGCTAAACCCCTCAGCTCTGCCCCCTATCAAGAGGACTGTCACTCTATGATTCACTCTCACATTGCCATAATAAACATTTCTAAATTGCTGCTTCATAGTCATTAAACCATTTTCACATTCATCTTAAAAATACAAAGCGCTTGCTAAGAAAGTCATACAACAGGAAGTAAAGGTCCCTCAAGGATCAAACCCTGGAGTAGGGACTGGGAGGAGTCCAGCCAGTGGAGTCCATATTTTTTGGTTAAAGAGGAATGGGGAAGCGGTGAGTCACGGGGTGAAGGCTTGCAACATGGGAAGCTCTTGATAAGACCAGGATATGAGGTAACAAAAAATGAATCAGAACTGGAAGACACTTTAGGCCTCATAAGGGCCAAACTCTGGCAGATAAATGCGGAAACTTAAGCCTCAAAAGGAAAGCAACTTGCTCAAGTTCACTCAGCAAGTGAACAGAGTCTCTTCTCCCCCTCTTCTCCTTTCTTCCATCAAAGAGGCTTTTCAAGGAGACTCGAGTTAGGGGCAGGGGAGAACCAGGGGCAGCTCGGACTTCACAGGAGTCAGGAGAAACCCTGGGAGGAACCAAGAAGCACAAATATGTCAGGATGAGGGGCAGAAACGAGCCAAGGAGGGGACAGAGGCAGTGGCTGGGAAAGTGGGTGAGGCCCTAGGGAGAGGAAAAAGGCGGAAAAGAAAAGGTACAGTGTGAGAACGAAGCAAAATGCTGTGAGATCTGGGTCTGAAGGGCCCGGCAAAGTGGGAAGATCTTGAGGAGGAAGAACTTGAGGGGGAAGAAGTGGATTGAGTTTGACAGTGGAAAGCGTCCAAGATTTGGTGAGACACTGAAGGTAGTCACACGGGGAGGGGTTCCGGACAGGGAAAAGCAGGGAGCGGGTTCCCGGGTCAGAGGAGACCCAGAGACGAGTCAGACGAAGGTGGAATCGGGGCCCGGGGAACCTGAGGAAAAGAAGTAGGGAGTCTGATGGGGCCCAGCCGCCTCACCGCGCTTGTTTTTGGTTCCGTGTTTCTTGGCGGCCGTCAATTCCTGCTCGATCTTCTTCTCCAGGAACTCCTGTTTCTTGCTTAGCATCTCCTCCGTGTCCCGCAGCCGCTGGATGGCCTCCTGGGGGGTCGGGCCGCCCTTGCCGGCCTTACCCCCTCCAGCCCCGAACAGCTTTCCGAACACCGACATGGTTTCTACTCGCCGCGCCGGCCTTCGCCGCCCGCTCCGGCTCGGCTCCGGCGCCCGCTCCCGGCCCCGCCGCTCCCTGCCACCGCAGGCCTCTCCTCCGCCTCCGCCCCGAAGTTGGGCCAGGCCGCGCC